TAAAGAACCCGACAATGTCTTCACGAAATAACTCTAAAATAGTTATGAAATATGTAATTAAAGTAACGAAAGAGTATTGATGAAGTGAAGAACTGTGTGTTAAAGTAGACCCACAAGACCTTTTTTATACCCAGAAACGAGGTGCAACAGTCTGGAGAAGATTGAGGTTGATTGTCATGATTGTGGAAATCAAATCAAAAAGTGGTATACTGAAAAACTATCTGAACATCGATGTAGTCATGTGTACACCGTTGTTCTGCCTGTTGACTTTCCTTTTGAATATCCAAACGATCATGGGAACAACGATGTTCAAAAGTCTACATAGTTATTTTAGGTGTTGATTTTTAAAAATGGAAAGATTTTGTCTTAAAAATCTTCAGTGGACAGGTATGAACATCGATGTTCATGTTTGTACATCGTTGTTCAAGACTCAGTTTGATTCCCAAACCTGACATAGAATAGCGTTTTACAGGGCACTACATCACTGTTCAAGAGCCAAAACATATTTTTCTTAGCTCTAGCCAAAACATCGATGTAGGCCCGCAAGGCTACTTTGTTGTTATGCCTGGTCCAGTCAATGCCAAAAATCAATGTAAAAAACAAAGTTTGCAAATTAAAAACTAAGTATTGGAAACACTTATTTAATGGATTTGATGTATAAACAAAGTGAAAATAATTTAAAAACTACGTCGTTAAGGTGAAAACCACATATCACCAAGTAAAAGACGATTTTAATAGTTTTTACTAAAGCCAAAACCCAAAGGTAGTTTTTAGAGAATACTTATTTTGAAACCTTTTAAATATGCCTAGAAGTAAAAACCAATTATAAACAAATGAAAAACATTTGATTGATTCGGACGCCGAAAACTAACGTTGAAATTGAACATCGAATACCGAACGTTGTGGTTTTGGCTTGGGCAAAGCCCAAGAATTTTTTGCAGCTTAAAGCATTTATGAAAGTCATTTGGTTGATGCATAAAATGGTTTCATGATTTTAGTAGTTGAGAACCAAGACTTAAGGACCATCGCTGGTCTTGATCACATTAAGACCGACTCAACCGAAACCTAAGTCTTCAACTTGATCTTGTTCTTGATTTTTTCATGCTTTGTGTCATACCTTGTTTTACGCCTCGAGACGTTCAACAAAACTTCTTCATATCCACGGTGATGGGTTGTCATTCATCAGAATCGATAAAAAATTAAACACAACTTTAGCACAATATTATGGTAAAGTGTGTTCTAACAATTTCAAAAAAACAAACGAGATTTAAATAGCTTGAATCATGTGGAAGTGTACAAATTGAAACCTTTCAAATCTGGAAATGGTTATGAAAGAAATTTCTTTTAGACAGGTGGAGAGGGAAAAAGCGCACACATGATCTATTTTGGGATGATCAATATCTTTGTAGAAAAGAGCATAGCAGGGGGGGGGGAATCATGCAAATACCCCATGAAATTTGAGATTTTACAAATACATTCCAAGATAAGTTTTTTCCATTTTTCTTTTTATATATAGGGCATATTTTGGATATTAGCTTTTCGGATGGATTTTGGCTAATTTGACTATTTTGACCGATCAAACTGCAAAACAAAGTGTATGGCAAGTGTGAAAAGTCAAAATATGAAAAGCTAAGAGGAGTAATCTCTCGAGTTGGATGTCAAAAGTATAATTATCTATTGTATAAATATTAAATAAATATATAAATAAATAAATAAATAAATATGAAGTAAATAAAAAAATAATAAACAAACAAATGTGTAAATAATAACTACTTTCACATTCCAAATTATCTTATAATTTACGAATATATTTTTTAAAAATTATTTTATTCAAAAATTAGTATAGAAAAAAACTTACATATTAAATAAATTTTTGAATAAATCTAATTTGTTAAATAGTCTAATATGAAGTACATCAAAATGGAAGGTCGACGTTTGTCCTTTTTTTAAATAGAAAAACTGAGTAAGCAAAAAATATTGACTCTCTCTGTGTGTCCATATATATATATATATATATATATATATACATACATACATACATACATACATACATACATACATACATACATACATACATACATACATACATACATACATACATACATACATACATACATATATACATACATACATACATACATATATATATATATATATATATATTACGTATGTAAACTTTATTATATTACTCCCTTTGTCCTAGTGTATTTGTCGAGTTTGACTTTTTCAAGTCAAATTGGACAAACTTTGAGCTTCAATTAAATAAAAACCGTATTTTATTTTAACATAAAAATGACTTTATTGGATTTATCGTATTGAGAACTTTTAAAATTGTATTTCATTATGCTAATATGCAATATAAATTGAGAGTAATTGGAGTTCAAAGTTTGTCCAGTTTGACTCAAAAAATCAAACTGGACAAATAACTAGGGTAGTATATTGCAAAACATATTATATTTAGTAAATTTTAATTCATGTTATATAAATCATATTATATCATACAAATCATATACATAAAATTAAGTTTTCAAATATAATTACATCTACAACAGCTATTTAAAAAAACTAAGTTTGCCAATTTTTTTTGTTTCTGTGAATAGCTAATGCAATGGATTGATCAAAATAGTTAACTTCACGAGACATTCAAACGAGTTAAAAGGCCATATAGTATCTAGCACCTAGTGGGTGCAGTCTTTTATTTGGGTCATGTATGTCTAAGGGGTCGTTTGACAGCTTCTGAATATCTAAGTGCTGAATTAGTAAGAGATCTGAACCATTAAGTGCTGAAACAGTAAGAGGTTTGAATCATTAAGAGCTAGTATATTGCTTAACTATTCAGAGGCAAATGTCTGATCAATTCAGATAAGAATTCTTAACCATTCAGACTCTATATAAAATTAACCATTCAGAGACAAATCTCTTAACCATTCAGACATCTAAACCATTAAGAGGCTGAAACAAACGGTCTCAACCACATGCGTCAAACCATGCTTCAAACCACAAACAGACCCGCCATAAAACCCAAAAAACCTAGCAATTCGTCGCATAGGAATCGCTCGCAGAGGAAAGAGTCCGGAGACGATCGATTCAGGTGCAACCGCGCTCGCGACTCTTCTCTTCTTCTTCTTCTACTTCATTTTCCGTCTTCTTCCTCTTTCGATCTGTGTAAATTTGATCTGATCAGATGGCACTAAGAGGTGTTTGGCAACTTCAGAAGCTGGTGGTCAGCTATTCTGATTGGGGAGGCAGTAGCAGGGGTTTAAGGTTTGTACTTACTTTGTTAATCCCTATGCAATTTAATTAATTCAAGTTTTACTGACTGTCCATTTGGTACAAGGAATCGACGAAATTAGAATTGAATTGAGAGTCGAAATTCATATTTAGCACTGCCAATTTCAAATCCGCGTATTTTTGTGCTACCAAACACCAAAATTGGAATTACGGTCACCAATTCCAATTCTATAGTTTGAATTTACCAACCTGAGCCTTAGGGTAACCTCTAGGGCCATTAACCGAATGGATTATCAATGTATTAGGGCATTTATGGAGTCTCATCTGCCAGCATTCAAGGACATCAATCCTCACCTGGAAGTGGTAACCGAGCTGAATCGCGGGCAACATCCATACTTGAAGGGATTATACAGTAAGACATTCCTGAGTGACTAAAATGCAATCTCTGAGCAATATTGTAAAAATATTGATTTTATGAGAAACTGAGTGATAATCGTGTGATCTTTGAGTATTCATATAAAATCTCAAATTTCCAGGGAGTATTTGTATGAAATTTTCCATATGTATAAAAATATAAGCCAGTGTTGGGAACTAGCATTTCATTTCAATTCCAAAATTTGAATTCTTGAACTTCAAATGAAAATGGCAGGAATTTGGCTCAAATTCTAAATTTTCAAGTTTCCTAAACATGAAATTTGAGTCAAGTCCGAATTTGAAATCTAAATCCAAGTTCCCAAACACGCCACCATAAAAGAAGAATTTGATGGGAAATCAGCACCTCTTTGAGCATATTTTGCAGACTGTTAGCTTGTGTCCATGAAAAAATGCATTAGACAAGATATACAACAACTCTAAGGGTATGAAATATGCCGGCCTTTGAAAACAAGAATATATGCACAAAGAGCTTATGCATTGGCATCTGAAAACCTTCAAGAGTTGTGAAACTAACGTGAAGCCACTAAAACTCATACGGGTTTTCTTGGATGATCAGAAAACAAGAATGAGCGTGTTGTCTCGGTTAAAAACTTGACCCCGGAAGAAATTCTGTTACAAGCAACAAGGCTAAGGAATTCACTGGGGAGAAAGGTGGTGAAGATGAAGACTAGACATGTCACCAAACACCCAAGTGTCCAAGGCACCTGGACTACAGATTTGAAGATGTAAGACCAATGTTTCAAGGTACGATAACTCGACAAGATCTATCTATGTGATCTAAACCTGCTCTTTTTTTTCTCGATTC